TATACGTAATATACATATTTTTATTTCAAAAAAAAATTATAGGAGATTTGTAAAGCATTATGGGTCCATTAGCAAGCCTCTCACCAACTTGCTTAAGAAGGACAACTTTAATTGAGGGCGAGACTGGTGGAGGAAGCCTTCAAGAGGCTATGAGCTTAGCGCCTGTACTGCCTTGCTTGACTTTGCCTCCCTTTTTGTCTTGGAAGCTGATGCATACAACAAAGGCATAGGGGTCGTTCTGATGCAGCATGGGAAACCATTGCCATACCTCAACAAACCATTAGAGATGTGCAACCAATCCCTGTTCCTTTATGATGAGCTATTAGACTTTTTTTAAAATAAAAGTATGAAACTGTATTAATGTAAGGTGCTAAAGAAGCACAGCCCATGTACAAAATTTACATCTCAATTAGCATATTTACAATGTCACCTAAATTAAAAAAACCATCAAGGTTATGCCCTAAAACATTAGAGTCAAAATAATGAAACCAGTTATCCTTGATATTGTTAAAATCAGATTCTACCCCTTCGAAAGCCCTGTTGTTCCTTTTCTTCCAGATTACCCAAAAAATAATAAGAGAAACAAGTCTAATTGACTTATTGTTACTGCCAAGACCCTCCCAGGCCATCAACTCAGTATTGACAGTGTCGGCCATTACCCAAGATAATCCCAACAACCCAAGGATCATAGTCCAGAGCTTGTGCAATGTAAAGCAATTCAAAAGAAGGTGATTGCAGGTTTCCATTGCGTTTTACAAAGGAAACATCTGTTGACTATATTGTGGCCTCTCTTCATCAAGTTGTCAAGGGTGAGGATCTTCTCCTTGGCAGCTTCCCAAGCAAAAAAGGATATCCTGGGTGGAGCACCAGATTTCCAAATGATCTTTGATGGAAAAGTCCTTTGTCTATCATGGTTAAGGCCATCCAAAAAGTGGTACAGCGACATTATTTCAAAGGGTCCAGCCTCATTAAGCACCTGTTGGAGCATAGAGATTACATCTTGGTGCAACGAAGGAATCCTTAAGCTATTGGAATTAAATTAAGTGATTCAATACAAGAGATGAAAAAAGAATCAAGTAGCAGATGCTTTATCCAGGAGAGAGCACAAAGCAAGGTAACTGATGGCTCTCATGACTACAACCATTCCAACCTGGATAAAGGAGCTAGTGCAATCTTATGAAGGGATGAAGAGACATCCAAGCCCATAACTAACATGTCTGTGACACCCATGGTCAAGCCCCCTTACACCTCCAAACACAACCTCCTAAAAGCAGAAAGGAAGACTCTTTATAGGCCTTAGAACCAACTTAAGGTCGTAACTCATCCAGATGTGCCATATCCCTCCCTAAAAAGGCCACTCAATCGTTAAAAGTATCTACCATACTCGCAAAAGAAGTTTTTTGGCCACAGAGGAAGTCACAAATTACCGCATAGATCAAGGAATTTAGTGTTTGTCAACCGTGCAAGAGAGAACATGTAGATTGCCCAGGCTTATCGAAGCCTCTTGAGGTACCACGTCACAATACAATGAACTTCATTGAACAGCTTCCCAAATTAAAGGTAAGGACACGATCTTGGTGGTAGTTGATTGCTAGACCAAGTACTTGCACATTTCATTTCATAGAACAGCTCCCCAAATTAGAAGGAAAGGACACAATATTGGTGCTAGTTGATTGCTAGACCAAGTATGCACATTTCGTTGCCTTGAGCATATCCTTTCGCACCAAATATAGCTAGGATCTTCTTGGACCACATTTACAAGCTACACATTTTACTAGAGTCTATTGTCACAGACCAAGATATAATTTTTACAAGAACATTCTGGCAGGAGCTAATGAGATTAACAGGAGTGGAACTATACCTCAACACTGCATACCACCCCCAGAATGACAGCCAATCCAAGCAGGTCAATCAATACGTGCAGAATTATCTCCAATATGCTGCTCATAGGAAACCAAGCTCTTGGTCACAATGGTTGAGCCTAGCTCAATGGTGATACATGACCTACCACTCAAGTATCAAGATCCCCCTTCTTCGCCCTATACAGCTATCCACCACCCTTGATTGAACAGAAAGAGTTGAACACGCCTGTGGCTGGTCTGGAAGAATGGATGAACCAAAGATAGGAAATGAATAAAATTTTGAGAAGACAACTACTGGACTCACAGAACAGGATGGAACAGATCGCAGATGCCAAAAGGACTGAAAGATCATTTGAAGCAGGAGATAGGGTCAGCTAAAATTGCAACCCTCCAGGCACTTGTCTTGGCAATTAGGAACTGTTTAAAGCTGGCTCCTAAATACCATGGCCCCTATGAAGTGATTAAGAATGTGGAATCGTCGTCTATAAACTAGCGTTGCCCTCTACCTCGTTTATTCATACGATCTTTCGTATCTCAATGCTTAGAAAATATGAGGAAAGCTCACCACAGCAAGCAAGGAGTTGCCTATCACAAGCTCCTAAGTGCAGATCTGAGTTGACTAGAAAAAGCAAGATTATCAGTTGGCAGAAACCAATTAAACACATGCTTGTAAAATGGTTGAACACGGGACTGGAGGAAACCACTCAGGAAGTTTGGGATTCCTCAAGGAACAAATTTCTGGAACTGAACCTTGAGGACAAGGCCTTTTCAGAAGAACTAGTCCAATGGCAAGAAATAGGAGATGACTTGAATTTTGTTATTGCTTTTCATTCTATTACCATCTATTTCTTCTTGTAATTTTGTGTATTGTGTTTTGCGTTAGTGGAGCAGTGAGTAACAATAGGTACAGACACACAGTTATCTAATATGAAAGAAGTTGCTTTACCATTTCCTCTAGCAATTATTGGTAATATTATCAGCTATATATAGCTGAGGTTGCAGATAATACGGGCATGCGATGAATAAATAAATATTCTGAATGTCCTCACTCTCATTCTCTGGTCTCTATCTCTCTGTCTCTTCTCCTCATTTACACCTAATTCTCCCTTCTTGCTTCTTATCTTCTCCATATCTTCTATTAATCAAACTAGAACCTGACCTCCTACCTATGAGTCAAGGTTCTGACACCTTGCAACTACCTCCACAAATGGCGGCTCCAGCTCCTTCACTAAAGAAACTTTTAAAATGAACCCTGCAATTAGATCGGCCCTTCAGTCAATCTCCTCTGTGGCTGTGGAAAGTTGAAAACTTCCATCGATGGTGGTTTCCGATTTGCACTTTCCATATTTGGAGGTTTTGATTGTTTCTCAACCAATTCACATACGCCACCAACATTCTCCACCATCCACATATCTAAAAGTCCCCCAAGCATGATGATTCTCCTTCTCCTTCTTCCTCCTCTCTGTTAGTGGCAGATATTGCCATTCCGATTCTCTCCTAGTGCCACCTGGAGCAAATGTCGACTCCCAGCCAAACTCCTCACCCATAGTCTGTTCCTGTTCTCCCAGTAAAACTCCATCCATGTCTTCAGGAGCCACTCTATCTCTTTTTCCCAGAAGATAATCAAGACTCGAAAACCTTTTCTGCTCTTAGTAATCTTAATACCTCTGCCTTTTCTCCCCACTAGTTCCACATAAAAATTTCCTTTCTACAACCAAGAACTTCCTGGTTGTAGATGACAACATGGAGGTTGTGTTCCTTAGTAAAAAAACTCGCCAGAGAAACTCACAAGTGGAATCCCCTCTCTTGGATTTTCACTCTCCAAAAAGCAGTTAAGTTCTATCTTGAACTTTAATTTAGGATCATATATAAATCCAACAAGTAAAAGAACATAATGGAACTTAAAATTAAATTTTTTTAAAAAAAATTGAATTATAATAACAAGAACTTGATTAAATACATGGAAATAACATCACGTGTAGAGGATCACCTGCTCAGAGCTAGCCATGGAACCATGGCATGCCAATAATAAAACCCTGCTAGGATCCCCCAGGAGAGGATGAGCTTGAAGTTGATCCTTCAAAGAGTTTATGTCATCCCAACCTGTCATGAAAACCAGAACAGCACCAGACCTCTCTTGCTTTACTATGTGACAAAGAACGTGCTCGATGAGGTTAAAACCAATTGAGTCAGGATTCCAGCAAGACAAAGACTCCCGAGTCCGCAGACTATACCCCTTAAAGTCAGCATTTTCAAGAGCATCCTGTACAAGTTAAAAGTAAATACATGTAGAAAACAAATGCATGTGGCTAAAACAAATTAATCTCATTAAGCTTCCATACCTCAACAGCAGAAGCAATCTGGCTTTTCCTTTTTCTGAGAGCTTGAACTTGTCTCTGCATTTTCCACATTTTTTCTTGACCATAATCATCTATTTGATTATATTGAGTCAACCTATATCCAGTTATCTCCAGAATGTTCTCCAGAAAATGTGCTCGGACAGGGTATGTAAATCCCTGGAATATAAAATTTCATTGAAGTGAGACAATCGAAATAGACTTTTTTAGACTGTTCCATCATAACTCACGTTTACTGTAAACGGATTATAAAGCAATTATGAGGGACAATGTCCCTAGATATAAGAAGTTTTGATATACAAATTTCAAATTATAAGCAATGAAGGGAACCTCATTGGAGAGAGAAAGAGATCTTTTATGATAATCAGAAGCACTTTGTCAAGACTAAAGGTAGATAAGCATCCTAAACATATAGATAATAATTAGCAGAGGAAGTACCGGAATATGCATTGTCGGGGCACCACCAAAGTAAGAAGAGAAAAGCTCAGCATCCAAGGTGGCACTCATTAAAATCAACCTTAATTCTGGTCGACGAGGAAGAAGGTCTTTTAGGACAACCAGAAGAAAATCTACATGCAAGTAAAAACATGTAAGCTCAGATAAAAATCATTAACATCTTGTCAACTAAGTATTTACCTTCATTCATTCCACGTTCATGGATTTCATCAACTATTACATGAGTTACACCTTTCAAATTTCTATCAACAAGTAGTCTTCGCAATAAAATACCAGTGGTACAAAAGAGAAGTCGAGTATCCCTCCCTTTCATTCCCTCCAACCGAACTTTAAAGCCAACCTTCCAAAAAGTGAAAATTTGAGGAATCAGATATTTTCCTGCCATAATAATAAAATTGCTTCACAAGATTCAAGTGCTTATAGTAACATATTAGATGGAGGAGGCTAACAGATTCTCCAAGACTCTCCCCTCTTTCTGCAGCAACTCTTTCAGACACCGCCATTGCAGATATTCTTCTAGGCTGAGTGCATATGATACTACAAGAAGCTCCACGAGCAGCATCAACTTCAGATTCTAGTATGTACTGTGGAAGTTGTGTGGTTTTACCACAACCAGTTTCTCCAGAGACAACAACAACCTGAAACATCAATGTGGCTAATAGTCACATATACCAGTCATCACAGTATGTCACTCCACAACAGTACAGGATATTGCAGGCATATCAATATATGGCAGTGCAAGCTGCACTTGCCAAAAGTCTCCATTTCATCTTACAGTACACATTGCCATATGAGATCAACATTTCAGTTATCTTTTCAACAATCACTGAATAAACTGCATTTCCAATGTCTTCTTAATAGAAAAATAAGTACTACTTGAAGTAGGGAGAAAAATAAAGCAACTAAGGATTAGATGTCCTCAGAAAAGAAAAAAGAAAATAAATATGAAAGGAGAAGAATCCGCACAACTCAATAAAGGCTAACCAGTTAATCTCTGTGTAAACTGTATCTCCAATGTTTACAGGAGCATTTTCCAAAACCGAGGATTCTAAAGTCGAAGACACTAAAGTAAATTTTTCTCTTTGAGAGAAGCAAAGAAAAACTATATACAAGCTTCTCAATTTACATATGTTGCATCCTACAAACATTGTTTTTCATCCATTTTGTTAAAAGAAAAATAAATGAAATTGCATAGTGCAGACATGAAAACATATGCACACAGCATTTTCAAGGGAGTACCATGGGTATCATCCTCCAATACATAAATGTGATGGTTCTAAGAAACTCTTTTAGGTACCATACCGTAGAAAGGGAGAAATTTCTTTCTGCATTTAGAAGGGCTGAAGAGAACCAATATATATATATATACACACTTTATAATTAATTATTTTCCTTTTAGAGGAAAATTTGACAATTAATTTATAGTAAATAAGGAATCAGAAATAAAATCTAATAATGTAAAATCTAACAATTAATAACAAAAGGTACAACTAGTAATAGTTGGATTTTTGACCAAATCAAGAATTAAAGGCTGAAAATTTTTCTATAATATTAATTAAATGCTGAAAATATTTCAACATTAATGCTGAGAATATTTCCACACTCCCTCTCATGTTGGGTTGAAAATGTTAGTCGTCTCGAGCTTGGAACTTAGGTCTTCAAAGCTTCTTTGAGGCAAGGCTTTGGTCACAATGTCTACAACAACCGATGACCTTGTTGGTGTGTAGAGTAGTTGAATAACATTGACTTCTACTTTTTCTTTGATCAACAACCGAGGAGACTTGCTGGTTGGAAACAGGGATTGCTTTCTAAAGGAGGCCGTTTGATTTTAGTAAAAAGCACACTAAGCAACTTGCCAATTTATTACCTATCTTTGTTTACGATTCCGGCTAGTGTTGCAAAAAAATCGGAAGCTATACAGTAAAAATTTCTTTGGGGTGATTTTATGGATGCTAGAAAGTTTCATTTGGTCGCTTGGAACAAATTGAAAAAACCTTTACAGAAGGGTGGACTTGGAATTCGGTCTTTGATCGAGATGAATCAAGTTTTGCAGGGTAAATGGTTATGGAGATTCATGAATGAGGATAATGCTATGTGGAGGAAAGTGATTGCCTCTAAATATGGGCTGAATGCATTCGGGTGGCTAACTCTTGAGGGGCAGAGGACTCATAGTAAATGTTTGTGGAAAAAAATTGAAATGTGTAAAGCAAATTTTATGAACCAAATTCTTTGGAAGATTGGAAATGGGTTGCGGATCAGTTTCTAGAATGATCATTGGCTGGAAGAGGGTCCACTCAGAGATAGATTTCCCAATGTTTATGGTATCTTTACCCACAAGGCTGCCCATGTTTCGGATTGTTTTGAGAGAAATCAGGATGGAAAAGGATCTTGGGAGGTGGTGGTGAGTCGTAATTTAAATGACTGGGAGTTGATGGAGTATGAAAATTTGATGATGATCCTACCTGGTATCAATTTGGGCAAAAATTGGTGGAATACCACAAAAAAAGAGGTGTTCGCGGTGAAATCCTGGTACAAAAAACTAATGTAGCATGATGAGCCAGCACAATTGATTGACGGTGAAAGGAATATTTTTTAGTTCAAACAGATCTGGAAGGCAAAGGTGCCTCCTCGGGTTTCTTTTTTCACTTGGGAAGCTAGCAGGGAGTGTATATTAACAATTGATAAATTAAAGAAGAGGCCTCACTTTGGTTAATGCTTGCTACCTATGCAAACAGGCTGAAGAGTCTTGCTGCCACCTTTTGCTTCACTGTCCTGCTACTTATCCACTGTAGTGTGGGGTGTACAGATGCCAGGGATCAGCTGGGTCATGTCGGGATCGGTAAGGGAGGAGATTGGGGCTTGGGAGAGTTTGAAAAGCTGCTGTCTTTTTGCAGACATTATTCCTCTTAGTATTTTGTGGGTTGTATGGAAAGTTAGGAATTGTAGAACTTTTGAAGGAATTGAGGATACAAAAAGTTTTGATGTACTTTCAAATAGATGGCTTAGGACCCTAGAATTTTTGCTTTCGGGTCATACTCTGATTATGGTCCAAATATTTAGGAATACTTTCTGTTTGGAGGATTAAGCTGTAAATAATTATACATGATCTGCACCAGTTGGTGCTTATAGCAACACATATTACATTTTTTACTTTCAAAAAAATATAATAATCAACCTCAACATATTTGATTCCGTCATGATAAACCAGATTCTTTTCAATACTTAAGAGCAAATTGATATCACAAAAAAGCTTCATAGTGTCTTCTAGATTAATTTCTAGTTCCTTGAGTAAACTTCAAATCCAAATACTTCCACGAATTGCATTGGTCATAGCACGAAATTCAGCTTTTGCACTATTTCTAAACACCATAGAGTGTTTCTCATTGACCAAACTTCTTCATACATAGGAATAATAACCAGATGTTGTCTCTAGTCTCTGATAAATCACACTCAATCTGTATTGCTATAAATTTCTACTCCTCATTTAAGATCCTTCTTGAAGAACAAACATTGCCAGAAGTAACTCAAAATCCTATAAACAGCCTCCATACGTTCTTCTTGCAGATCATTCATAGATTGGCTTGTAACGCTAATAGAGAATCCAAAATCTAGATGTGTGTGTGTGAGTTGGCTACCAATCTTTAGT